CTATTTAATAAAATTATTATTTTATTTAAATATTAAATTTAATACATTAATTAAATATTATCTTAATATATGTATTTAATTTTATTATATTTATATACGTATATTTTTTATTTTGATAATATTAAAAATATTTATTTAAATATATTTTTAATTTTATAAAATTCATAATAATTTTAAAATAATAACTAAATATGTAAATGAAGAGATAAGTTTTTTTTTACCAAGAGATAAATTGTTGAAGTGTAACATTTGTATTTATTAAAAAAGAAGTGTTTATTTTCACACAAGAAGGAAGGATAGTGTAATATTTTCATTTATAAGGAGATGTTAGGGTAAAGAATATTTTAGTGGTATTTTTTTTTAGTTTAATGATTTTTTTATAAATGGATAAAGTGTCATATATTAAAATATGATTAATAGATTGTAATTTTTAACATAAGAAGAGAGGTTGTTGTAATATTCACATCTCTTAGAAGAAGATGGTGTAATTTACTCTTAAAACTTTGATATTTCAATATTAAATTTTGTTGAAAATAAATATTAGTTAAATTTCAATAATTTAAAAAAGTTAATAATAGATGATATTTAATAAATTTAAAATAATTTGAAATATTTAATAATTAAAAATAAATATTAATAAGCTACACATCAATATTGATAGATAATAAAAATAGAGAGAAGAAGAAGAACAGATAAATGAGAGAGAAAAGAGAAAGAGAACATGAGATAAAGAAGAGAGAAAAAAAAAGATGAATAAGGGAAGAGAGAGAGAAAAAGAAAGATGAAAAATAAAAAAATAAAAGGAAAAATAAAGTTATTCAAAATTTTAGATAAAATTATTGTATGAATAAATTATATATAAATTTTATTAAAGTATTTCACAAAATCTATACTTCAAAACAATTTATTGAAATTTTATATATATTTTTTTAATATTAACCAACTTTTTAAATAAAAAAAGTTTTAATTAAATATCACTGCATGTTATAAATCCTAAAAAAATTAATTATCTTAATTGAATGTAATATAATTTTTAAATTTTTATATTAAAAATTAATTTCATTCAACAATATTTTTTTTTATAATAAAAAAATCTTTTAAGATTATTTAAAATCTGAATCCAATGAAGCATGGTGTTACAAAGAAAATTTTCTTACTAGGTGAATGTGCTTTCAACCCTGAAGTGCCTAATCCGCAGTCGCCAACCACTCAAGTCATTCAGATTTCACAAAAGTGCTCTTTACACATTTGAAATATCAACCAATCATTTCTCTAAATTATTTTATTTTTATTTTTCCTTTTTCCTTTTCTTCTTGTCAATTCCAGGTAATTTCATGTCTTCTTGTTCACCCTCTCTTCTTTCTTAAAAGTGTAATACTCGCATCTACTTTATTCTCTTTCTCCCTATATAAGTATATTTTTGTGCTACAATAACTATATCAATAATATTTTAATATTTCTGCCCATGAATACAAATTTTTAATTTTATGACAAAAATAACGTGATTAAATTTATTGTTGTTTATATTTTATATTCGACCCTGAATGTTTATATTTTATATATACTATCATTTATTTATTTTTTCTAAAAAAATGGATACACATGAAAAAAAATATAATAATAATAATGATGACGGCGTGCTTGGTATTGTTGGGTGGGAATGACATTGACGAAAGTGAAGTCAATGTTATTATCGTATAAGCTATTTCTTTGTACTTTCCCACATAGTAAATTATTTGATGTGTCTCACTAAGTAATGCTCTCCACTGAACGATTCATTTCCTTCTCACTTTCTCAGTATCTGATTATGGTATTGGTCAAGGAGCCATCAACAGTGCCACCGTTTGACTAAACATGCATCATTCAATGATTTCAAAATTATCTGTTAAAAATGGGATCATAAATATTTATATTATGTAGCACATTAAAAAAAAGAAAAAAAAGAGGCAATTCTAACAAGCAACTATTTATTTTACATATAAGAACTCAAGGCAAGATCATATTTATAACTATAAAATTTTATAAGTAACTAAATTAATCTTTTAAATAACAAGTAAAAATAAATTTAATCTTTAAAATATAAGAATGTCCTTTTAGCTTTTAAATAATCAGATATCGATTATTTTAAGAGAGTTACTATGATACCCTCAAAGATCGAGGAGTTTCAATATATTTTCCTATATAAAAACTCATAAAAGATTTTAAAAAATTAATTTAATTATAA